AAAAAGCCACACTTAAAAGACACTCAAACTTGCTTTTAATTCACAAAATTCTTCCAATAACAATAAAGATTTTTAGTTGTTCTCATTAATGCACTAAAAAACGCCAAATTAAATTTTATGAAAAAACATTTCTTTCTTTTAGTGTCTAGTTTAAACCCCAGATGGCACTGTATGCTTAAAATTCTATTTTGATTATTTGGAAATTTTACAACTTTAAAACTGTAAACTTTATCACTTTGTAGCTAAAAATTCCAGTAATTTTTTTGTTGTATGATATTCTAATCAAAAGTTATGAGTTTAACTTTTATTTCATTTTTCGTTTTTCCAAGAAATATTTATCGCGAAAAAAAGCGCGGCATTTTTTGTGCATTATCTAATCCATTAGGGGGATAAAGAGGGTTAAGGATTTTTAGCATAAATATAAACAGGTTCCAAATCAATACTTTGATATTGAATTGAAATACTGTTGATTTTAGTTGGACAGAGAGCACAAATTGAAATTTTATAAACTAAAATTTAAAAATATTGATGCTTTTTGAAACCACTTTGGCTGTCATTACAGAAGAATTTGCATTAATTTATTTTTAAAAACCTGAATTCTTTTGATATGATAGATATTAAGAATTCAGAGACTTACGAAGAAATAATGTCGAGTATACCCTCTACGAGGTTTAAAAAATGTTTTGCAATTAAAACTGAGTGTGTTATTCAAAAACAGCAATTTTGAATTCATTCACATTTTCAGACATTTTTGACCATTGTGCAATCTGGTTTAGAACCCAGAGGTCTAAGGTTCGACTCCGGCTCCAGACCAATAAGCGACATTGGTAAGATAGGAAGCATGAACTTTCTAGTTAAATTTTCTCTGTGATAAGACCGTAACGACTTCTGGGAGCACCTTAATAACAATAAAAAAAAAAAGTTCTAGGTCAAAAATTAGAAAGCATTTATTGAATTCTTAATTAAATAAGTAAATTAATTTAATTAATAGTTAGTTAGTTAATAATCAAAAGTTAATTAATAGTAACTCAGTAATTAGTATTTTAAATTTTACAGCTTTTGGTGTAATTTAATTACAAACAAGACCACGGTTAACAGTAAACTTTTCTCAAAAAGAAAAATTGTAGATAGACACGCTAGGTTCGCAAGGATCCTGATAATGCCAACTAAGCGACCCAAGAACGCCACTTATATGGGGTAATAGCGTACACCTCAGGGTATTAATCAAGTTTTTGAATCTTTTAATTTTGTCCGCGGAAAATAAATTAATTTGAATGTTCTAATTATGTAAAATTTCGACTTTATTATGCGACAATAAAAACATCTGTAAAATGAGAACCACTTCATGTAATTTAATAAAAATTAATGTATCATAAAACCACACCAAAATCTGGATAAATTTTCAGTCAGATTGGTTTACTGGTTAAAGATTTATGGCGGTTTTAAAATAAAGTTTAAAAATTCGCCAAGAACTTGAATCTGATGCCATTACTAAGGCTGGTTCTGAACAAAACACAACTCTGGCAAAAGTGATTCAAAAGTAAATTAATCAGGGTAAGAAAACTGTACAACTTGCAATTGATATTCGATCACTATTTTCAAAATAAAGGTTACACGAGTGCTCTACTATGTAACATCAAAAAATTTCATTTTAATTGTTTTATTGATACATGTACCATTTTCATTATATGGACAAAAATATTGATGGGGTTAAATGTGAAGGGCAGCTGGCCACTTAATGGCTTCTAACCAGGCAGTTTTAAGTTCATTGTGAAAAGATGATTGACAACTCTTATTAGGAGATACAATTCCATCGGTGGGATTATTTCGGAAATCAGAACATTGCCAGGCCCACTGATGATTGCATTTCAAATGGCATTGCTAAACAACTTTGTTCAAGTAATTACCCAGCCAGATTGCTGAAAAGACTCGAGACTAGATTTGATTGAACCCAGTGTTCACAAGTTTTCAGATATACAAAGACACTTGGATTTGACGTTACACCATGTACACGGGCACATACTTATATGGAATCGACCACAAGTTATGTTTGGAACTTTCAAGTCAAAATTACTTTAACTCCATTTGCATTAATCAGTGACCAGGTTTGTTCAATGTTAGGGTGTGTTTTTGGAAATCTTTTAATACCGCAACAACAGCTTGTCTCTTAACTCCAGTGTCTTTGTCAGTCCTTTAAGTGAGAGGTTGTTTTTAAGGCGGTGAGCTAGTATCAACCCTAAATGAAGTATCAACAATGTTTAGATAAAACTTAAGAAAACTTTTACCACCATCAATTCGAGCTTAAAAAAATATCCACCAGAAATTTCGCGAAATTGAACAACATGATTCACAAGACTTAATGAATCATTGCAGTGAGCAACAACCCAAACTGTACCAGAATCTCCTTTTCCGTCGGTATATTTTTAAACAAAAATTTTTTTTTCGAAAAAAAAAACTGTTTTAAATGATCACTGCATTTTTTCAATCAATAATAACAAAGACCCTATCGATCTAATGAAATCTATTAAGTTACAAGATCTTTAATACTGTCTTCTTCTTCATCAGACATTCTAAATAACTTCTTTGCAGCTGTTGTTTTCTTTCGATGTACTTTTAGGTAAATTTATAATTCATTTTTTATCATCTTCATGTGCATTGATTTACCACATACCAATTGGCCCGGCTTTAGGTCATCCTGGCCCCCCATGCAAAATAACGGTTGTGACCTCTCCACACCCCTCTCTTCCCCGAAAAAATAGTATCCGTTTTTTAAGTCAATTTTTTTATATGCTAATATATTGCTAATTAAAACTACTGGATTGTCCAAAAACGAACAAATAAATGCTAGCGCTGAAAGGCATTTTTTTTTGTCTACTATAAGAAGTGTAGTAATTTCCTTTTTTTCAATACCCTTTCAAAACTTTATAAAAGACTTTTCTCCGTTACAGTTTGTAACAGCAGCAGAGAAAAACATCCAACAACATTGACGTTTGAGACTGGATTCGAGTGTCTTTGATTAAATAACCAGAAGTAAATTGAGATGATTTGTTTTTTTGAATTCACTAATATTAGTATCAACTGAATTGGGAACAAAGTTCTTGTAATGCAGTTTGTAATGCATCCTTCCTTGCATTTATAGAACAACTCAATTTTTTCTCTCTTTTTACTTTCTTTGTCTTCTTTCTCCTGCGCTTTTTTGTCCTTTGAGCTGTTAATAGACTCTACAAGTTTTAGCATTTTAACTTTCCATGAAACCATGGACTTGATTGCCTTTTACAAATCATTACTTTGAGTCGACTTAATTTTTTGGATTGTCAATAGACCTCATGTTTTATAAAGAATAATGCTTTTATCATGTAAGTTATTATCTTATCATAAAGAAAAATTAAATAAAAAATGTAATTTTTCTTACCATTTTGAAGCATTATCTTGCATTTGGCTATTTTTTTGTTTCATAGATATAGGAGAACTTATTTTTCTATTTATAACTGACGAAATATGAGTAACAGGTAAAGCAGCTGATAAACACACTGTTGTATATCATTTAAGTGTTTTTTTATAGAATTGTAAACTTCCTCTATTAACATTGCAGCTGGTTGGAGTTTATTATTTTACATAAATGCAACGTTTAAGCTTTTATTAGTAATACCGGCTTTCTTACCAGCTTTTCGTATTCGCTCTAGCGTGACCCACTTGTCCTGCATACTTGCAAGAGATAACATAAAATCCTATCTATTAACTGTTTAATGTTAGCTAAAAAAGCTACTTTTAGATTTAAACGGTGTTCAGCGTATTGTTGATTTGATTAAGAAGTTGAGTTATTGCAGTAGTCTCTGCAGGTGTTATATATAAATGCATTTCTTTCTAAGAAATCGAAATTAGGTATACCTAATTTCGATTTCTTAGAAAGAAATGAAACAAATCTTTACTTGGATTTTTGTAAATTACTTGATAGTCTCTTGATTTCAAAAGACATACTTTGCCCTGTTGTTGCACTGATGGTCACATTTCTCGCTTCCATTATATATAATAACAAAAATATATATAATATAAGATAAATAACAAAATAGTTTTGAAGATTGAGTTTAGATATTGAAAGTAGAATTCAGTATTACATATAAGAAAGATTTACATATAACAGAGCACTTTGCTTAGTTTTAATGTTCTTTTTTTTTGTAAATTTGTTTGAGACTAACATGGACACAGAAACTTACAATTTCTATATTTAGTAATACAATAAAAAATTCTCACTTTTATTTTAAAAGAGGTTTCCATCCATTTTGCAGTCGAAGCAATGCACTTTATTCCTCCAGAGCATCATCGTTTTCCATTAATTTTTCACCATTCTACAGCTTTGCTTTTCTGTTTCTTTCTTCTCGGTTAAATTGCTTTAAAGCAGCTTCATATTTATTCTTTAGCTTTTTAATTACAGAATTTGAGTTCGCTGCTCTCTTAAGCTAAATTTTGGTTTCACTTTATTTTTTATCTATAATAACAAACATGTTACATCACAATACTTACTGTACCAATTAAAGTATTGAAAAAATAAGGCACATCAAATTTTGTATTTTTAATTCATTTTTTGAAGTTACAAAACAAAAAGAAGCTGTCAATAGAAATTGAACTGCTAGAAGAAACTACTATCTTTCAAAACAAACTTTAAGATAAACTCCCTGATGAACAACGATTAACTCAATCTCCTTGATCGAGTAATTCGTTGAGGAGATATCAATAATAACAGTATTGTCTTTTTAAGAGCACCTTGCATAGACATTGCATGGACTTGCATAAAATTGACATTTTTCAAATACAAATATAAAATTAAAAAAATTTGAATACTGCTTTCAACCACCAGGATGAGACTATATGGCTCTAGACAAAATAAAAAATGAATAACTAAAAAAACAAGCTTCCCAAAATTTTTTAAGCCACTTTAAATTTGTTGTTATTTTAAGGGCATTATACCTGTAAAATATTTAAATTATTGAAAACCAAAAGAATTGTGTAAAAAATTCTAATTTTAAAATAGTACGTCACAGTTAAAATAATACGTCACAAATACAGAGGTTACATTGAAAACTAGTTTAGAAAGTTTATTTATAGCGGAAGTGTGTTTCAGGCACTCCTTTTTAGTATGTCCGTATGAAGTCTTATTAAAACGAATATTGTTGAAAATTATACACTAACTAAACCCTAAACCTGACATTTAGGGTTAGGCTCAGGATTTACCCCAGGGTTTTGTTTTAAGTATGGCTTTCAATAAAATAAACTTTATTGTTGGGTCCAGAGTTATAGAATGATTTTCAAATGTTTTGCGTAAAACGTGGGTCATTTTTCACGGACTTTCTAAAGGGGGTTCCCTGAAATACACTTCCGCCTAAATTACTTTTCTAATAAAAATTAAATAGGTTAGGTTCTAATACAACGTTATATTTTTCTTTTTAGTTATTTTTAGTTACTTTAAAGATCTTTACCAGAAAAAAAAAAAAAAAGTCAGCTAAAAACTCCTAATATAAGCAATTGCAATAGATAGATTTTTAAATAGTTAACATTTACAAAAATTAGTAGTGAAATATCCTTTACCACAGATTGGTAGCAGAACAATCAGTAGCAGCACTACTGTTATCGGGTGTTAAAAGTGCTTTATATATTAGGAAAAAAGACAACTCAACAAGCGAAGTTTATCCACCAAGTAGTTTAGCTACTGAAGATATTAATGGGTAACGTCCTTGACCGCAATTACGACCATTGAAATCATCAAGATCTAAGCACCAAAACATGGCACCAGCTAGACCCTTTTCTAAAAAAGCATAAAATATTTTATTTGTTTTAATTTATTTGTTTTAAATATAGTTTATTTGCAATTGTTCTTCTATTTTTAAAAAAAGTGTTGTTTACATTTATAGTAGCAACTTTTAAGAAACTTGACTATAAAACAATCATACTAACAAACATACTGATAATTTAAGATTCCACTTTTTTCTTTAAACTTGCTTGATCATCATATCCAATCCAGGTTTTGTCTTTGTACCCGTATGGAGCATCAACAACACTGTTTTGTACAACAGTTAGACCCATTTTACATATTTCATAATAGGCAATATAACCCTCTTCGCGTGTATATTGTCCTATAGGAGATTTATCTTCTGTAGGGGCACCGAGACCGCGATTGCTTGCACTCTTAAGGGAGAAAGCACGGCCGTAAGTGCCCATACCAAGTGCAATTTTCTTAGCTGGAAAACCAAGTTTAATCCAGTGATCAACGGCATAAGGTATGGTGAATTCTTTACGATTTGTTTCGTTAACTAAAATATTTCAATTTAAACTTATAACATGTAAACAGTAATTACACCCAAATGTGATATTATGTCTTTTATAGTAGTAGTATAATCTGATATACTTTATAGATGTTTGATAAAGACTTTTTGAGAAATTATAATGAAAAAGCATTTTTTGCAATTACTTTTAGACGTTACTCTGCATGTATTGCGACTGTATAGATGTGTATAGAGACGCAAACGTATGTTTGTATGCGTAATATATCATATATATATATATATATATATATATATATATATATATATATATATATATATATATATATATATATATATATATATATATGTATATATATATATATATATATATACCATATATATATATATATATATATATATATATATATATATATATATATATATATATATATATATATATATATATATATAAAAGTTGTTGTATAATTTAGTATTAAAAATACTAAACTCCTGATCGTTGTAGAGTGCTCAATATTTAAGAAATATTTTTTCAAAAAGCGTTTTTCTTTAATTATACTTAATTATAGAAAAAACAACTTTTAATGGAACTTAAAGTTTTATTTCTATCGGCAATCATCAGTCATAAAGTACAAAATTAAAAATATAAAAAAATGTTTGAAAATTACAAACTACGGTAGAATGAGTTCTGACGTTTTAGTACAAGAAGACGTAATGGAAAACTAAACTCCGCTATCAAATAATGAAAGGAGAAATTTATTTTTGCGTCTACATTTAGAAACTACTTCGCCTCTTTCGTTTAGCAGGTTATCTTCTTTGTAAAATAATATTTCAAATTTCTCATTTAAACAAAGCTTACAAATTTTTGAAGCAGCATTGTATGATTTACAGCATTTAATTATATTCCATTTGATTGAAGATGTAAAATTGTTAACTTATAATTCCCATACTTCCTTAGATAACTCATTGTCGTTGTTGTTTTTTTTAGGTTGAACGATTTTAGATGGTTTGCATAACGTAGCTTAAAAGAGGTTTCGCTTATCCCAATATATACATTATCTTTGTATTGCGGTTTATTTGAGCTTACGGTAACTTGGTAAACGATGTTGTTAAAGAAACAATTGTTGTTCAGTGAACAAAGAGATTTTTTAATGCAATTGCAGGCTTTTTCTGATAACTTCACATCACCATATAAAATATTTTTGTTGTGTGAGTTGATGATTTAATGTTTGGCATGCATGAGTAGCTTATTTTAATTGTGTTTCTGTTAAATATTTTGTGTAGGTTGTGGTCTTTATTAAAATGCTTGTCAATTAGGGTTGAAAAGCGTTGATCAATTTTGGTTGTAACATTTTTAATAAATGGAGGATTGTATCTGATTATATTTCGTTTTTGGTTATTTTTTGAACATTTTTTATGCTTGTGGAGAGTCGGGTAGCCCCGGACACTTAAGGAAAATGTAGACTGTGCACATGTGCTATCAGAAAAAAAAGTGTCAAAAGACTTTTTTTAAAATTTCAAACATTCATCTATCGAAAAAAATAATTATTGTGTATCTTAATAATATACAAAACATAAAGGAAAAAATATTAGAAAAAAGGTATGTCTCGAAATTGGAAGGTGGAGCCCCAGGCACATTGTTTAATCATGATTTTACCTCTTTTTTAACAGTGTGACACAAATGTAATATATAATAATTTAGCATTGGACTGTTCTCGACTCAGTTTTAAAAAAATCGCCTTAAAAATTGCCTCTGATATTTAAGGAATGAGATTGAAAATGTCATCATTTAAAATTATAAACATAAGCTTTTTTAAAATGAAAACAAAAACTTTAAAAACACTTTTTTCAAACCTAATATTTTTTTATTGGAATTAAATGAATTACTGTTTTAGGTTTGTGTATTATATTAAATATATTATGATTTATATAAAAAAAGTTGTTTATTATTAATATGTAAATGAATTAAGTTGTCAGGAGCCACTCTCCAAACATGTGTCCGATACCACCCGATCATACCTCATTCACAAATACTAGTTTTAAAACCAGTGAATTAAACTTTTTAACAATTTTTTTTTAAATAACTATTGTAAATAAAAATATATCCCTATTCATTAAAAAGTTATTAGTTTTCATAAAAATTAGGTATATTAATATAAGAAATCTAATATGATGACACGTCGCTCTTCTGGTGGTGGGAAACAAAATCTTGCCCTCCCGGTCATTCGCTTCATCATTTTATGATAGATATTTTGCATATGCCATATTTTCATTCAAATAATGTTATTTTAGTATTAAAAGTCACATAGCTTTATTAGTTTAAGCTGTACATCAAGTGTCCGGAGTTACCCGCCGTCCGTCCGTCCGGAGTTACCCGCCGAGCTTTTCTAGCAGCCAAGTTTAAAGTTACAACATCGTAATTAACTTCCTTCTCAAGATCTGTTTAGATTGAAAGGATCTGACAGCCGTTAAGACGATCCTGTCTGATGGTAGCTTTTAGAGAGTTCCTGACGAGAGCAAACTTGCTAAAAAATCTCTCGCTTTCAGCCATAGATCGTCGCGTTGGTTTGACAAGATTCTAAATGATTTTTTTTAAATGATTTTTTTTAAATGATTTTTTTTATATTAGGAGAATAGCAAAAAAATTGTTTTTTTTTTTATTGTCTAAATGAAAATATTTATATAATAGTTTTTTGTTTATTTATGTATTTTTATACATCAACAAAAAAAAAAAGTACATAAACAAATTAAAAAACAATAGTATAAATAATTTTAATTAAACATTAAAAAAAAGTTAAAAGATTTTTTCTAAATTCTCCTTATATAAAAAATTTTAGTTAGTACCTTGTGATACCAACGCGACGAGATATAGACAAAGTAAGTAAGATACGTAGACAGATGCATATCTGAGGGAAATTTCCTTTACACCCTTTTGCACAAATACTATTAAAAAGATCTACGGTCCAATAATCTGTCAGGAGACGACGTCGAATAGACTAAAGTGTTTCGCAACTCATCAATAAAATCTTCTACACTAAGATCATTTGGGTACAGATGTACGAGATGTCTAACTTTAGATTCTTAACTGTTTGTTAAGTCCGTATTGATGTCAGGTGTAGACCAGGTGAAAAAAAAAATATGTACATTGCTGTTTCAGAGCTTGAAGTCTCTCTGTAATGATGGATGAAGTTAGCAAAGTAAACAATTTTTACTTCTTTATTAGATATTTCCAATTTTTTATTTAGCATACTGATAGTTTTTTTTCTGATAGTTTTTGTTACAACGAGTATTATATAAACAAACATAATGCACTCTATAATCTTTCTTACTAACTCACGAGTTCTAATGTGTTTCACATGAACGCACTCTTACCAATCATAATGTATTTCGTTACCAACTTTCAACAGTTCCCCTGTTTGGAAAAGCTTCTATTATTACTCAAATAAATAAGTTATGTTTAAAGTATCTAATAAAAAACTTTATTCGTCTATGAACTCGCTTGGAATAAGATTTTCTTTCAACTATTTTTCTTTGGTTATCATTTATTAAGGTTTCACGTTGTATACGTTCAGCTTCAGGATTTTTGAGTTTTTTTATAAATTGTGTATTACGCGCCAACTCGTTTCCTTCGACTACAATGATTAAATTTTGCTTTCTTTTTTTAACTATATGTTTTGTTTAAATATTTTGAATCTAATTTTTTTTCCGGTTTATTGCGTTTTACAAGAACCTGATCTCATAACTAAATGCCATCTCTCTTCTTTGCATGATATTTCATATCAGAAAATTCTTTTAATTTTTTACACTTTTTATCTTGACGTTCTCTCACTTCTTTGTCATACGGTGATTTTTTAATTATTTTTGATGGAAACTTATTTTTAATATTTCTATTGAATAACAACGTAGCTGGTGGTTTGCCAGTTGTAGCATGAGGTGCGCATCTATAACTTCGAAGCATGCTTTGAAGTTCCTCCCTCCAATTATTCCTCATAAAATGAGTTGTTTCAATTGTTTTTCCTATCACTTGCATAAATTTTTCTAATGTGCTGTTTGCTTGCGGATATCGAGGCGTTATTTTAATCTGCTTTATGTCAACATTTTTAAAGTATAGTTTTAATTCTTCGCATTGAAACGGTAATCCGTTGTCATGTCACAATTTTGTTAGGATAACCAAAAATAGCAAATAATCTTTCTAGTTTACTTGATGCTTGAAGCTGTTGTGATTTTCACTATATCAACATATGGGTATCTGGAATATAAATCTTCTATATTCTATTAACCTTTTTTCGCAATGATCCTTTACATTTTTTAACACTCAAATGTCCTTCATGTCCAATTTGTAAAGCTCTTTTTTGAAGCAACCTTGGTAGAACATTTTTTTCTCCTCGTTATATGACTCCTTTGTGTTCAGTTAACTCAAATTTACGATACGGTTCAAGTATTGGATTGTCATGTCATTTACCCAACAACAACACTGTTTTTACAGCAACTAAACTGATTTCTGTTGCTGTCTCCGATTTTATATCTTCAAGTGATATTGATTTGGGTGCCATTTTTGTCACTGAAAAATTTTTTTATGCTGCAATTTCATTTTCATCTGACTCATTATGTATTTCATTTTGAGTACAGTTTCTAGAAAAAAATTCTGCAATGTTCTCTTCTCCTTCCTGATATATTATGTCGAATTCGTATGCCTGTAATTTGATTTGCTATCTTGTAATACGTGAATTTAATGTAGAGCCAGAAGAAAAAATGAACTTGAGAGGTTTGTGGGCCACTATGCCCTTAAAACTTTTTCCATATAAATACGAATGTAACTTTTCAATAGCCCATACAAAGCAAGAGCTTCCTTTTCTGTAATGCTATTTTTTAACTCGGATGCGGTTAATGATCTACTTATGTATCAGATTGGTTTGATCCTTGTTCCTTCTTTTAGCTAAAGTATTCCACCTATAGCATGATTACTAGCATCAGTAAATAAATGTACTTCTTTGCGCGGATCATAAAAAGCCAAAATGGATTCACTTGAT